ACGATCACTTACTGATCGGTCAGAGACTGCAGCAAGACCCTCCGCTATATTATTGCGCTGGCGTCAATGGCAATTTGTTTACACGGCGGACATTGCTCAAATATTCCGCTAAATTCTCGTGCATCCGTCTGACGCGGATTTTCAAAGAATCTTATGGCGATCGTCGGCCGATGAGCCGATTGAACACTATCGCCTTCTCACTGTAACGTACGGGCTCGCCCCCGCTCCGTACCTCGCAATAAGGGTACTGAAACAGCTTTCCTCTAGATAAAGGTGACAACTATCCCGCGGCTGTTTCAATTCTCAGCGAGTCCCTCTACGTGGACGATGCGCTCTTGTGGGCGCGACGATACGACTCATTGATAGAAGCTCGTGTCCAACTAGTTGAAATCCTGCAAAAGGGAGGTTTTCAACTACAAAGTGGTTTCTAATGCCTCCTCTCTTCTTCAAGAACTTTCGGCTCATCAGCCGGAAGTCACCGATTACTTACTCGTAAAAGAAGATCTCGGGCTTTCATGCTTGCTAAAGAGGACGCGTTCAAATTCGTGATAACTCCGTTGAGATCGGTTACGCACACGAAACGTTCCGTTCTCTCGTTCACGGCAAAATTATACGACCCAATAGGATGGGCTGCTCCGGTTGTTGTAACCGCGAAATCTTGCTACAAGAGTTATGTGCTTCTCAAATGTGATTGGGACTCCCCTCTTCCAGAGGAGTTGCGCGATCGTTGGGAGATTACACCAACGATTTAAAATCATTAAACCGCGTCCGAATACCGCGTTGGACCGGTCGACATTCCAATAACCTCGCGTTCAAAATCCACGGGTTTGCCGACGCTTCAAACCGCGCTTACGCGCGGTCGTTTATATTCGAGTGCTTCCTTCGCCAACGAAGTTTCAAATCACTCTGCTCGCTGCTAAACAAGGTCGCGCCGATCAAAACCGTAAGCATCCCGCGCTTGGAACTGAACATCGTCCTCCTCCTCAGCCGGCTAATCAAGTGGACCTTGACATCGTTGAAAATTACCATCCGATTCCAATATACGGATGGACGGATTCGACCATCGCTCTCGCGTGGCTCCGTCAACATCCATCAAAATGGAGCACCTACGTGGCTAACCGCGTATCCGAAGTGCATACCTGTCTGGATTTCTGTTTGTTGGAATCACGTTCCGTCTCGAGATAATCCGGCGGACTGTGCCTCGCGCGGCTTGACCGCCTCCGAGCTCGTGACTCACCCGCTATGGTGGAACGGTCCACGATGGCTTCAGAAGCCATCGACTGCGTGGCCGATTCTGAATGTCTCAGCTCCGCTCGACACTGCCACCGATCAGCAAGTGTCGGTGGAAAGAAGACGGCCTGTGACGTTCCATGTTCAAGAGGCCGAGGAATGGGAACTCCCATATAGGTTCTCCACTTGGACCAAGCTTGTCCGCGTGACTGCCTATATGAATCGCTTTATCTTCGTGTAAAAAAAGAGCGCGTCTCGCTCCCAACTCTCTTCCCCCTTCTGAACGCCGATGAGTTTAGGAGGGCGGAAATCTTCTGGTTGCGCTATCTGCAACAGAGATTCTTCGAGCGGGAAACGCGCTCACTAAGAATAACGGCACCATGCCGCATTTGAGCTCGTTGAGCAAATTGAGTCCTTTTCTAGGAGAGGACTCTTTACTCACTCCGTCTTGGCGGGGTTGACGAATTCCGCGCTCAGCTATGACGAGCCACATCCTATATAATTCCGAACATCACTTATCCGATCTCTTAATTGATCGCGCTCATAAATCCACGCTCCACGGGGGGACACAGTACTGTGTCCGTGTGCTGCGTCAGCAATACTGGATCATTGGAGGCCGCAGCTCAGTAAAGGCGCACATTCGAAAATGTGTAGTCTGCACTCGTCACGCGGCTAATTGTCTTCTCAGTTCATGGCGACCTTCCAGCCGCTCGTGTCACCCCTTCGGCGCCTTTTACTCATTGTGGGGTTGATTACGCCGGCCCACTCCACGTAATTTCATTCGTCGGCAGAGGGCAAAAGGCCAGAAAGGTATATATCGCTCTGTTTGTTTGTCTTGCTACAAGGGCGATTCACCTCGAATTAGTGAAGATTACTCCACGCCCGGCTTTCTTGCAGCCTATCAAAGTTCGCTAGCCGAAGAGGTCTGCCGCGTCACATGTATAGCGACAACGGCACAAATTTTCATGGAGCCAACCACGAACTTCATCGACACTTTCAATCCTTATGGAAGGATGCTGATTGCGAAAACGCACTCGCAGGCGACGGAGTGAACTGGCATTTCATTCCCTCCGCCGCTCCACATTTCGGCGGCCTTTGGGAGGCCGGAGTCAAGAGCCTTAAAACGCATCTGAGGCGCGCTGTTGGTTCCCACACACTTTCGAGGGCTGAACTCGCGACGCTTCTATGTAAAATAGAAGCGTGCCTTAACTCGCGACCAATCGCTCCGCTTAGGGACGACCCGGGTGACTTGTCGGCGCTTACCCCGGTCACTTTCTGATTGGACGGCCCCTCGTAGCCGTTCCGGAGGAATCGTACTCGCGATCGACCCGCGTAGGCTCTCGCGATGGCAACTAGTCCGTGCCATGCAGGAAACCGTGTGGCGTGCCTGGTCACAGGATTATTTACATTCGCTTCAACAGCGAAACAGGTGGTGCAAGCAGTCTCCTAACTTCGCAATAAGCGAATTAGTATTAGTTAAAAGTCCCGTTTCCCTCCGAGCAAATGGAGCTTGCCCGAGTACAGCAAATCCATCCCGGATCTGATGGACTCGTTCGAGTTGTGACCATACGCACCGCACGGTCCACATTGAAACGACCTATTGCGCAATTATGCCGACTGCCAACGTGATAACTCTAACGCGTCCGCAACGGATGAAGCCGCTAACTTGTAAGAGTTATGTAATCTTCGAGACGACTTTCTCAGTGCGAGAATCGGTCTTCACCGATGCAACTATGTTCGTTTTGTACATCACGGTCATTCCTTCGCAATTACGATTCGCTCCCGCTTCGATCTTAGAGTTTTATCTTCGCATTCGATTTCGCCATACGACGGGCGGGCGGTATGTTGAAGATTCGTTCTTCGGATCGAATCCTCGAGGACGATCGAATTTTCTAGAATGTTTTTTTGTTAAATTCCTTAGTGTTTACGCCAAGGAAACACGTGAAACCAACGTGTACACTCGCCGCTAATTGGCGTGTGTACATCGCCTGATTTTCTGATGGTCCAATCGAGGACCCCGATCGGCTGCCGCCCTACGCGAGCTCCGAAATTCGCGCAGCCCTCGAGTCAGTCCTCGAGAGAGCGAGCGCCGAGAAACATAAGTCTCGGTACGCGACGAACTTGTAGAAAGTGAATAAACTAATTTAAACCGTTTCAAAACGCGTACAATCATTTGATCACGTTAACCCGGCATCCTACAACGTTAAATCTTATACACACATCATAATGTCCTACGATTACCATAATTTTCTAGGTAAATTCTAAGAAAAAATTCTCTTAGATTGTGATTATGATTGTCGTGTCTTTGCCGTGTAAACTATTGCCGTCCGCATCGAGCAACGTGTGCTGTGCGCGCCGCGCGTTTTTACAAGTAATTTTTAATAATTAATCAAAACACTGAGAGAATTTTCTCTTAGAATTTACCCTAAAAGTTATGGTAATTGTAAGAGAATATGGTATGAAAAGAATTTTATTAGAATTTCTCTGATTAATAATTATCACATTCAAAATAATAATATTTATCACTGTTTAAAACTTGGAACAAAGCTGTCGAGAAAAAAAAATATATATATATATATTGTTCTGGTTCCGAGTCGAAGCCAGGGACTCAAGGCTCGACCAACGATCGACTTTGTTTGGCACCTCGAGCGGACATCGACAGGTCAACCGGCCAGCGAATCACGATTAGCCGCGCGCGTGTCACGCGCCGAGTTCATGCAAAGCTCGTGATTCCGAATCGGTTGTCTTCCCCGAGGTTAAAAAGGGAGTTCAGTTAGCCCAAAGACACAGTCGAGAGCACCCAACGATAAAGCGGTATGCTTGTAACGGATCCGCGATATCCTGTCTTTCTTTGTTCTTGAAGAACGACAATCGAACCTCAATCACGTATTCAATAGTCTATCAAAAGGGTCCGAAGCGTCGGAACCAGATACAGTGTACAAATCTGATATGATACAATAAAATTACTGTTATTAAAATTAAATAAAAGGAAAAACATTGGTCCTTCGAGCCGGATTTTTCGTTGACCCGATCATACGGATAATCAAACTACGCGAGATTCGCGTTGTGAGACGGAACGGGTGAACATTGTCAGTGAGACGTCGGACTGTGACTCCTCGTTTTACAATCGAATGAGTGCAGAAGAAGAACAAAGACAGTGTCGCGTTCACTATCCAACGGGTTTTCTCTCTGGGCTCACTCACTCTGCTTGAGCGACAAGTGGAGTTATTTTCCCGTCGTGGAGTTAACTTTAACGAACATTCCCGCGGGAATCTAAATGTTGAGCTTCGCGCCTTATTCGCGAGTTCATTTACAAGGTTCAAACGCGGGGGTCTGGTGGTGGAAACAATTCGTGAACTCAAAGTCAAAATTACATCGTGTTTCGCGGAACGAAGTGAAGTATTCCGCGAAGGTGTTGCCGTCGGCGTCGATAACACGCCCGGAACATCATACACTGTGCTAATCGAGACTGGACGCGACGATTAAAAGGGAATCGTCGCGAGTTCGACGCCGTCGGCGTGGCAATTGAACGTCACGGCGTTAATTCTTCAGGCACCGGAGAAATCCGCTTGTCGATAAGAAAACATCCGCGGAAAGGTTGCCGTCGGCGCAGCGGTAACGCTCCCCGGCATATCCCGTGTATTCTTAAGCGACATAACAGTGTCGCGATTCGACCAAAAGTCGTCGCGCATTCGTTGCCGTCGGCACCGTGCTCACGAGCCCGGTACCTTCGATCAAGTCACTATTAATAGCTCATTAACGAAGAAATAATGGCAGAATTAAGAAATTTGCTCATCTCGCAAGTTGAAACAATCGACTCGATAAAGCGAGTTCTCGTTAACTTCAAGAAATTAGCGAAAGCTAATGTTACATTAGCAAAGACGCAGGGGCGTCTTGCAACGCTGGAAACGCTTTGGACTTCCTGTCGAGGGCTACACGTCAAGCTGCTGCAAGCCACAACTTCGGAGGAGCAGAAGACTGTCTCGTATTTCCTGAATGGAGACTTCCTGAGCGCCGAGGAGATCTACCACGACACGGCCGACCTCCTTCGCGATACGATAAGTCGATTCTCAATTAATCAATCTCCGTTGTTAGAACACAGTACTGATTCTTCAATTCGCGAGGGCATTCATAATCACAATTTTCAGTTGCCACGGATCTCACTTCCGAAGTTTTCGGGCAAGTTCTCCGAATGGGAGAGTTTTAAAAATACTTTCGAGTCTCTTGTCGCGAGTAATGATTCTCTCTCGAACACGCAGAAATTTCATTACCTCAAAACGAGCGTCATCAGTGACGCTGCCTCGATTATTAGTAATTTAAAGATTTCCGACGCTAATTATGAGTCCGTCTGGCAGTTGTTGATTGACGAGTATGATGATCAACTTACGTTGATCCATACTCACATTCACGCCTTCATGTGCCTACCGACAATGAAGACGGAAAACGTCGCGGAAATGCGAAAGTTGAGAGATACCGTGTCCGCATCTCTAGCGGCTCTCACTAATCTAAAGCGGCCGGTACGCGAGTGAATGACATTCTCGTCTACGTCATCTCTCAAAAATTTAGTTCGAAAACAAGGAGCGAATGGAATTTAAAAATTTCGTCAAGTCGCGAGCTTCCTTCGTACAAGGATATTCATGAATTCCTCACGCTTCGAATACGAGGTCTGTCGGACTTCTCCGACAATCCTAAAGTAATCGTCAATTCTAAGAGTGACAAAACGCAGTCCTCCGTTCATAATCTTTCCGCGATTAAGTGCATTTGCTGTTCCGGCAGTCATTCGGTAATGAAGTGCGAGGAATTTCGTCGGAAAAACGCGACATAGCGGCATGCCATCGCGCGACAGAATCGGGTCTGCTTCAATTGTTTGCGAGCGGGACATTTCACGCCGAAATGCTCGAGCAAAATTCGATGCGCTCATTGTCAACGCTCTCATAACACATTGTTACACAATGAGAGTGATCAAAATAAGGACACAGCGGAAAATTCCCGTTTATCGAATTCGAGCGTTAATGCGTCTACTACCACGAGTAAGACTGTCGTAGTCGGCGACGCCGCCGTCGCCAGCGTGCAAACTCTCAAACCTTAGAATACCACGATGCCCACCGTTCTTCTCGCGACCGCGTGGGTTGACATACACACTTCTGAAGGAAGATGTTTTAAGGTCCGCGCTTTATTAGATCAAGGGTCTAATTTTAGCTTTATTTCCGAAGCATTGAGTCAAACGCTTCGCACTAAACGACAGAGGACCGATCTTCAAATAAAAGGTTTCGGGGAGAAATATGCCGGTTCTGCGCGATCGAGAGTTTCGCTAAATTTGACGCCGTGCGAAAAATTGAATCCTGTTTTTCCGGTCACTGCGTATGTATTCCCGCGAATAACTTCGTACGCCACGTCGCGAATTCGGCCTATAGAATCATGGCCTCATTTACAGGACCTTTCACTAGCATATCCGGATCCATCTAGTCGACATCAGATTCACATGCTGATCGGCGCGGACGTGTACGGTTCGCTCTTATTGCGCGACCTGAGACAGGGCCCCTATGGAGCGCCCACTGCCCAATCGACCTCGTTCGGTTGGATAATCTCTGGACCGACCGGAAGTAAAGAAACTACTTCACAAGAAGTAACTGTTTTGAATTGCGTATCCGCGCTGGATGTGGACTCTCTCCTCCAGAAATTCTGGGAGGACAAAGAGATTCCCACGCCAACTTCCCTCACGGAGGAGGAAGAAAAATGCGAATCTCATTTCGCTCAAACGCACAGTCGTGATCCTGACGGTCGTTATGTCGTGAGATTACTTTTCAAAAATGCTTTGCCGATCGATATCGGGGAATCTCTCTCCATAGCGCGTACATTGTACGGTCGTCTGGAAAATAAATTGAATTCAAAATCCGATCTCTGTTCGCTATACAGAGACTTTCTTACAGAATACGAGGCCCTTGGACATATGACTCGCGTTGGCGAGTCCGAACCCACTGAGAATATACCGATTTATATTCCCCATCATCCAGTAATAAGAGAGGATAGTTGCACCACAAAGCTTCGAGTCGTATTTAACGCGTCGTGTAAAACCCGGAATGGCACGTCACTTAACGACCATTTGCTCATCGGGCCAAAGTTGCAGCAGGATCTCCCTGCCGTCTTATTGCGTTGGCGTGCATGGCGCTTGGTTTATACGGCAGACATCGCCAAGATGTTTCGACAAATACGCGTACATCCGCGGGACGTCGATTACCAAAGAATCCTGTGGCGTCCGACGGATGACGCTCCGCTTACTCATTTTCGCCTTCTTACAGTGACGTATGGTTTAGCATCGGCACCTTATCTTTCGATGCGCGTGCTTCGACAGCTCGCGCTTGATGAAGGTGCAAAGTTTCCTGCCGCGGTACCGATCGTCAATGATTCCATTTACGTGGACGACGCATTGTTCGGAGCAAACGATATCGATTCGTTAATAAATACGCGAACTCAGCTCGCTGAGCTAATGAGGCGCGGAGGTTTTTCACTTCGTAAATGGGCTTCAAACTGTAGCGAGCTTCTTGACGATTTATCCAGCGATCAATCGGACGTTACCGATCACCTTATCCTAAAGGACGAAACGTTGAAAATACTCGGATTATCATGGCTCCCTACGGAAGACTCCTTCCGCCTTACTGTGAAATTTAATTTTCCTACCGCGTTAACTAAGCGTTCAATCCTGTCGTGCATCGCGAGCTTGTATGACCCCCTCGGATGGGCTGCGCCGGTTGTAATAAACGCAAAAATCATTCTGCAAGAGCTATGGCTTTTACATTGCGACTGGGATGCTCCGCTTCCGAACGAATTGAGTCAACGGTGGAATGCTTTCGCTTCCGAGTTCCCGCAATTAGAATCCGTTAGAATTCCTCGGTGGACGGGTCAGAGCCCTGATAATCTCGCGTTAGAAATACATGGATTCGCCGACGCTTCAAATCGCGCGTACGCTGCGGTCGTATACTTGCGCGTTTTCCATTCTCTTTTGGAATACCGTGTTAGCTTGATCGAGCGAAGTCGAAGGTGGCTCCCGTCAAGACTGTTAGCATTCCGCGGCTCGAGCTCAACGCCGTTGTTTTATTGAGTCGACTCGTTAAGTGGGTAATTAAGTCATTAAATATTATTCATTGTCCGATCCATTGTTGGACGGACTCCACGATCGCGTTGGCATGGTTACGCCAACATCCATCGAAATGGACTACGTACGTAGCAAACAGAGTATCCGAGGTGCAGTGTAATCTACCCTCGGCCAAATGGAATCACGTACCGTCCAAAGACAATCCGGCCGACTGTGCATCCAGAGGGTTGTACGCATCCAAGTTAGTCTCACATCCGTTATGGTGGGCGGGCCCGCCTTGGCTTCAATGGCCTTCAAGAGCGTGGCCGCCACATAACATTGCTTCTCCAATCTCCACGGAGTTAAGGGGTTATAACACCTTTGAGGGTCAAAAAAATTCAAAAATTTTTTTTTTTTGCTTAAATGATACTTTGGAATGTATAGAATATAATTTTATTCATCTAGAGTCGGTCTGGAACTTTTTCATGTACGAAATAGCCATGTTTGTACGCGGCGCCATAGCGCGCGGAGAGAACCTGGGAGCGCTCTCTGAGTTCTGCCTTTCTACTTCAACTATCGAGTAGTTGAGAATTTAGTATAATATTGTAGATGTCTCTTGTGACCATTTCAACAGAAAACAGTATATTCCTATCATATAATACTTTATTTTATGCCAGAATCGTGTGTTTACTGCGAACAGTTTCCGTTACACCACCGACTTCGGCTTTTCAAATTGTTGTAATAATGGAGAAACAAAGACTACATATAGATCAGAAAGGGAGTAGAGCAAGTACTTCACGTGCACGTAAAAGTTCAATAAGTAGAAGGAAGCCTTTAAATAGGTATTCTTTAGAAGGCGAAAGTGAAAGTGTGAGCACGTCGGCGAAAAAACTTAAAACGAGTGCGGACGATTACGAGATACACGTGGACAATACTTTTGGGTATCGTTTCATTAATTTTGTTTCCGTTTTTACAACCATTTCGCAATTAATTGTTTGCAAAACGTGTGGCTCGAACATCAAATTTGAAGAATCCAGACGTCGCGGTCTTGGTTTCAAAATCGGTATTATTTGTGAAAAATGCGTCCCAAAATATATTGACTCTAGCCCTCTTATAAACAATCACGCTTACGAAATAAATCGCCGAATGGTATTTACAATGAGATTACTTGGTATAGGAATCAATGGAATTAAAAAATTTTGTGCATTTATGTGTTTGCCGGTACCAGTGTATCAGTCTTTTTATGACAAAATAATTTCAAACATTCGTGTTGCCACTAATACTGTATGTGAAATTTCAATGAAACGAGCAGCTGCAAAAGAAAAGGAGATGTCATTGGAAAGAAGACAGATAGATGGGATAACAGTTTCTGGTGACGGGACCTGGAGAAAGAGGGGATTCTCGTCTTTGTTCGGTGTCGTATCACTAATAGGGTGGTGCACGGGAAAAGTCGTCGACATTGCAGTGAAATCTAAATTCTGTAAGGCCTGCAGTTTGTGGAACGGAAAGCAAGAAACAAGCGAATATGAAGAATGGGCTGCAAATCACGAAGCAAACTGCGAAAGAAATCACGAAGGTTCGTCGGGAAAGATGAAAGTAGACGCAGTCGTAGAAATGTTTCAGCGGTCCGAAGAATTGCACAATTTAAAATATTCTCATTACATCGGTGATGGAGACAGCAAAACATTCAAAGGCATTTTAGATTCGAAACCTTATGATGATTTGAATGTTTGTAAAAAAGAATGTATAGATCATGTTCAAAAACGTATGGGCACGAGATTACGTAATTTGAAAAAAAATGTAAGAGGTCTTGGAGGCAGAGGAAAATTGACAGGCAAACTGATCGACGAGTTGACAATATACTATGGTCTGGCTATTCGTAGAAATTCTAATTCCATTGAAGATATGAGACGAGAAATATGGGCGACTTTATTCCATAAGATTTCAACGGACAGCGAACCGCAGCACGACCGTTGCCCAATCGGAGAGAACTCGTGGTGTTCTTGGCAGCAGGCGAAAGCTGAGAACGAATTAGATGAATACCAACACAAACCAGCTTTAAACAATGAAGTTTTTAAAGCTATTCAACCTATTTACGAAGAATTAAGTCGAGACGAGTTGCTATCCCGCTGTGTTGGCGGGTTTACTCAAAACAGCAACGAGAGTTTTAATTCTGTGCTGTGGGCAATAGCACCAAAAACTGTTCACAGTAACAAAGCAATCGTCGATATTGCCGCAAATATTGCTGTTTGCAACTTTAATGATGGTTTGCACAGCATAATGCAAATTATGCAAGTGTTAAATCTAATAATTGGAAGTGCTTGTTACAATTTCTGCGTTCAAGCAGACGAACGCCGGATCCGCGCAGCTGAGCGCACTATGACCGAGGAAGCTAAAGAAGCTCGTAGGCAGCAGAAATCAGCTCGGAAGGCCACAGATGACGAGGACATTAATGTAGAAGGTCAACTGTATGGTGCAGGCATTGCAGATTAACGGTGAGCTCCTAATAATTACAAGTTTTCTCGTTGCAAAACTTTAAATGCGATTTCTGTAAAACACCATTTTTCAAATCGGTGGCCAGCTTAGCTCCCACAATTTACATCGGATTAACTTGAAACAAAGCTTATTCTGCGCTAAATTAAATTGTTTATCGAGGTACGTAGCCGTTTTTTAATAGAATTGTTAGTTTTTTTTGGGAACCAATTTTATAAACGATTTTCAGTGAAAATTTTTATACTTTTTTTTCAAATTAGTGTAAATTCCACAAAAATTAATATTTTTCAAAAATCCTACGTACCTCGATGGAAAATTTATCAGAGAATATGAAAAACTTTTCATTTTTGTTCTATGTCATACCAGTAAGCCGGAATCCTGGCCACCGATTGGACCGGAATAGCGCAAAGGGTCATCTTTGGCGCCATCTACAGGATATTCTTCAAAGATTTTTTTAATTTAAAAAATAATTTTTATAACTAGAAACTATAATAAAATCAACCCTCAAACCCGTTTTTTGATTA